TCCATGGCGGCGATCCATTATATCTCATTTAGTTTCTAGAAAAAGTAAAATGGTTGTACGCCGACCTGTGAGCAGGTCAGTAAACATCAAAACACCCTATTTGTTTATAACTAGAAATTCTACATTAACTCCTATTCATGTAGGTCTAAGCATGTTCCTGTTTCTGCTAAGGAAGAAACAAAGCAAAGTGGTGTAATCTTTAGTTTAAAAGTGATGAAAGGGCTGGAAAAGAAAAGAGGCAAGGAAATAAGTTGTCATAATTTTGACTTTAAGCTTGCCAATTTATAGTAATATAATTGGCTTATGTGTAAGCTGTTTTATGTGCTTCAGTGTTACATGAAGTTGGGGGAGACGCTTCATGCAAACGTTGCTGAAATGAGTGAGATTCAAGCTAGAACATAGGTCTTTTCTCATTTTGCACCAGTTTTGTTCTATATTATCAACATACAATTAGCTACTTGATGTTTTTATATCTATCAGGTTCATTTTTGTTAGTTGTTTGAATTGTTTCGTCCATTGTTTTCATTCAGCGTTTTTATTAATGAATGGTGTCTTTGAATATTCAGGAACAGACAGAAGCAGCTATAAAGCAGTTTCGGAGAACCCTTAATTTCAAAGCGACCCTTATGCCTTCTTTTTACCATGAAGCAATGTCGATAGCTTCTGAAGGGAAAAAGATATATTGCTGTATTTTGTTCAAGTATAATATGATTGTCGTTTTTTTCTTGAAGTAAATGGTAAAATGTTAGAAGTCATCGTATTGAACCATCTACATCATTATATAGCAAAGAGGTAACTGTTTGCATCTTTATTTATCACCATTTGAATGTTTAGCTCAATATTTATTAAGTTTCACAATAATTGTTTTCTGGACCAATGTCATGCTATTTAGGCTTACATGTGACCCTCTGTTCATTTCCCCCTTCTTCGGACATTCGTTACTTTTATGTAGAAATGAGCATAATTGATACGCACTTTGTTCAAGAATGTTGTAGTTGACCACGATAATTGTTTAATTTAGCTATAGATTGATCACAAAGATATGATTTGTTCAATTATGATTGGATCTGTGAGCAATCCAATTGATCTGTGATATATATTCCATAATTTTATATATTTTTACCATTATTTATGTGCTAATTTAATCCTGATACGAATGTTATTCCTTTTTTTGTTGTCCAGGTTTTGGTTTTTAGGCTTCATGGTCTTCTCATCAATCTGACCACATCCTTCTCAAATCAGGTTTATGTTGTTTTCCATGTAGAAGTTTTCCAAGTAGAAGTTGAAATTAGAATGAATCAAATATTTAGATACCCATGGTTTCTTAGACCATCTCCAACCACCCTCCAAATCTCCAAAATCTCCAAATTTGGAGAGTGGAACCTCTCCAACCACTCTCCAAATTTGGAGATCTTCAAATTTGACCCTCCAAATTTAGAGGGTGGGGAGAAATTTTGGAGGGTCTCTCCATAACCCTATTCATGATTTTTTATTTACAATTTTGCCATTTTTCACTATTTGATTTCTTAAAATTTACCACTTTGCCATCTTTCTTAGTAATTTAAATTAGATGTTTAATTTCAAATAAATATAGTTAAAAATTATTAATCTAATATTTAGAAATCATTATATATTTGGAAAGGGCTCGTTGAGATCTTTAAAATGAAACTAAGATTAATTTATTTTAGTATTATTATAAAATTATTAATTTTTAAATTAAATAAATAAGTATCAGACATGAAATTTTAAATACGGGGATCTATTTAACTCGCTCCATAAAAAAGTACAAGCATAAATTATAATATTTAAATTACATTCCTTCGTTGCCGTGCTTCTGCCATAAATGTTCAATTAGTGCGTTTCAAAGCATAAAATGAGCTTCCCTATCTTGAATCTTCCTATTGCAGTATTAATATTGGGTTCATTTTAAAGCTCTCATCGACACCTTTATAATGTTATAAATTTTTTTTCCCAAATAAATTATTAACAATGAAATTATTAACGTAAACTATATCCAACATTCTTTAATTTATATGGCTTTTTTGACAAAAAAAATAAAAAAAAAAACATTTGGAGAGTGTGGGTTGGAGCAACCCTCCAAATTTCACCCTCCAAATTGGAATATTCCTAGAATATTCCAATTTGGAGGGCCAAATTTGGAGGGTATGGTTGGAGATGCTCTTATTATTCTTAGAATAATAATATCATAATAACTTTTATTTAGTTATGTTAATTAACAACTCTGTCTTTTAACGTTGTTCTTTTTCTAATATAATTACTACATATTTAAAATATCTAAATTTTAGATTTTCTTCTTTTGGCTTTGGCGGCTTGGCCTATTCCTTGCAAATTGGTTGCATTATTTTGCAATTTAATATCACTCTTTGTACTACCTGTCCTTGATCATGTACTTTTTGCAATATAATATCACTCTTTGTATTCCTTAAACATAATTGTCTTTCTTTGGAGCCATGACTTTGAAACCTGATGTTGCAGTCTTTTATCCTCAATGGCTTCAACTAACTCATCTATTGCCCTGTTGTATGTCATATCTTTAGGACATTTAGATGTTTATCTTTTGGAGCCATGACTCTAAAACTAGGCAATAAGTCACAATAGACTTGGGTGTCTATCAGCACAAGGGAATAATTTATAGCAACTTTATGTACATATGGGAAATTTGTTTAAACATATAGTTTAATATGCTTTATAATTTTAATTGTACAATAATAATATGTATAAAACTAAGAGGAGGGATGTTCCAAGTGCAATGGTAGAAAAGAGGCGAGGGTCCTGCTTGGAACGGGGTACAAATATGTGGAAATCCTTCTATTAGTGTTAGCTACAAATTGAGCGGTTTAATTCAAAAAGTAAAGATTAAAATACTAGTTTTCATCCCCTCAGATGTCTTTTACCATCTATTTAAAATTCAAATACAACTATTGTAATGAAATTATTTATTCTCCCTCCAAAATCATGTTTTCTCCCTCCAAGTTCCCACTATAACACACTTACATTCATAATTCACTCAAGAAAACTTTATCTCACTACATCAGGTAATTCTAAAATTTCTTCTTAAGTCTAGCCTTTGATATTATCTTCATTGTTATTTACCATCTTTATTATGAAATTACATATCCAGTAGTTTGTCATGTCTACACAAGAGGTTTTGGATATGAATGTTATTACAATCTATTAGTCTGCGTCGTTTGCATGTTGCCTGATTGCAAAGTTTATACATATCAATGTCCTGCAAAACAATGAGAATCATCAGCAATAGAAATTTGACATTGAGTAAATATATTGACAATATAAACATAGATCACAACGCCTCATGTATAGTCTTGCTGCATTGTCTTGTGTTCTATTTGTCAATGACCCATTATCAATCCCGTGAAGTTTCTAATTAACTTTTGACACTTTGCATCAAAAATTTCCACTACCTTCTCCTTGATGTACAAATTAAAAATTTTTAAATACTTAATTGAACCATGCATTTACTTGATCATGAAAAAGTTAACCATAGATTAATTGAGAGAAGTAGCTAGCGTAAATATTGGAATTCACCGAGAAGATTTCTGATTATAGGTTGTCATAGTAATCCTTCTAAATGTAATACCAAATTCTTTTATATCTTTTGAGCAGTATCTTTTGTTGCTACAACTTTCACCATTATCACTTTGGATTGCTTATTTCTTTTCACTTTACTATTGATTTCATAATTCTTCACATTAATTGTACAACAATCTTTTCCTGCCACCTCATTAACATGCTAACTATCATGTTATACTGAAACACAGGGCTTGCTATTGGTCACTGGTGATAATGAAGTTGAAATTTGTTCATCGGATAGCATTACTCCTTGCAAGAGAAATTTGTTGGAATCTGATGTCGAGCACTCAGTTTCAGTAGACTTGATTTCTCCACAAATGTCTAGCAACAAAAAGCAAAAAACAGATCAAGATTGAAAAAGAGAATGAGAATATTCTACAGAGAGTTCAAGCTCCTTTTTGATAAATCTATATCTGATTCATGATGTCTAAAACTTATATTTAGTATTTTGGTCTAAAACCTTATTTAGTAAACTTTTATATGCACTACATTTTTTTGGTTGTTTTGCGTTGAGAAACCTAGCTACTTGATATGATTATGATAGATATTTTGTTTATTAATATATTGATAATTATTGTCTTGATTCATAGATATATATACTTGACATGTATCTCTAGGTGCTTTAAATATTTCTTTTGGAGCTAAACTTTATGTTGCATGTTAATTACTTGGTATAGCAAAATATTATAACATTAATCATATAGACATGAGACATATCTATTTTGTTATGATAATAGGGAAATTATATTTTAATTCTTTTTTGCAGTTTAATAGTAAGTCAAACATATATGCAGCTTAGGTTGTATCATTTCTGACTAATTATATATTATTACTGTTTTATTTTGTATTTTTTTGCAACATCTATTTTTGTATATTAAATAAATCCGTGCATCGCACAGGCCTGAAACTAGTATATGTATAATATGTGTGTGTGTGTGTATACTCTCTCTCTTAATATATAAGTATATATAAGTATAGTATATTACAACGGCTACTTCTTCCTCATTGGCCTAACGGGCAACGGCTACTCATGCGATTCTCTCTCTTTCAAGTTATAACTTATTTATAAATATATACAATATATTTACATATAATATATGTATATATAATATATAGTTACATAATAATTTGTAAGTATATACTAATACATAATTATATAAAATATAATAATGTTAAACTAATTTTTAGCATTTTTTTATCAAAAAAAAAAAAGAAAAGAAAAGAAATTTAAAAAAACCTAGTTGGGATGTACTTATCTATTGTGATGCGATGAATTCCAAAATAAATTTATACTTGTAATTTATAAATGATTTATTAATTATTAATAAAAAATTTATTTTTATAATTTTTTATTTATAATTTATGTCATTTTAAGTGATTAATAAAATTATTATTTTTTATTAATTTTTTTGTTTTTTCGTATAATTTAAATTTTAAATGGAATTTTTAAAAAAGAAAATAAACTGGGCCAGCCCAAGCTATGATGAGGAGAGAGATGAGAGTAGAATTCCATCTAGAGGTCCCATCCAAGCTATGACCTTTCCCTTCTAAGATAAGTTTTTGTGCTCCCCTCTCCTTTATATCAATCTCTGGTCAACACCTTTGATCATTCTATCTTAGATCCAAGGTGAAGTCTTGCTCGAAATGCCGAAGAAAAGACCAAATTTTCCACCGATATCTCCCAAGGTAAGCATCCCTTCACTTCCTTGTTTAAATCAGTGATCTTGGTCATGTTTTTGATTAATTGTAATATGTTGTTGCCTGTTTGATTATGGATATGCTCGGATCTAACTATTTTTACTATAAAAACTTATACTTATTGATAATGCCGAAATAGTAGATGTTCTTGATGTGGAGAAATCAGAAAAACCAGATTTTCTGGTATAAGTCGACTCATGCACAAGGCTAAGTCGACTTATGGTAAGTCGACTTGTCAGTGTGCACAAGTCGACTTACGATCTGCACTGGAGTTGTGTTTTTTTTTCTCTCTGCCAAGTCGACTTATCAGGCCTGATAAGTCGACTTATCAGGCCTGATAAGTCGACTTACAAAGTGTGCTCCAGTTGCTATTTTTCTCTCTGCCAAGTCGACTTATGCTCTTTGTTAAGTCCACTTACGATGGGTTTTTTGCATAATCAGGTTTCCTGTTTGCAGTCTGATTGGGTTTTTGTTTTGATATAAATAGGAAAACGATTTGTTAGGGTTTTTTATCAGAGATTGAGGAATCTTTTGAGCATTGTGAGAGGGAGATATTGTGAGCAAGGTGAGATCTTTGGTTGAGGGTTAGTTTGAGAGTTTTGTAATCCTTTGTACTCTCCTTGAATTAGTGAAATCTCCCCATCCTCTCCCCGTGGACGTAGGCAAGTTGTCGAACCACGTATATCTCTGTGGTTTGATTTGTCGTAATTGGCTTGATTTGTGCAAGAGTGTGGCTTTCTTCTTCCGTGATCACAAGTTCGTTGTGTGTGCGTGCAACGCTTCCGCATAGGCGCGCGACAAGTGGTATCAGAGCTCAGATTCAGATCTAGGGTTTTGGATTAGGTGGAGGAAGATTCAGTTGGAAGCTTGGTTCTTGGAGTTCTAGGCTTTGGTGGAGTTAGGGTTTGAAGTTGCCGTTGAAGATCTCGCTTTCCTCGTGTGGTTAGGAGTTCTATTTGGAATCCAATCTAGGGTTCAGTTGGGTAATTTCTTATTCTTTTCAAAGTTTGGATCTTTCTCTACAATTTGGAAGTTGTGATTATGGGTGAAGTAATTGGTGAAAGCAGCAAGATGACAGGCACAGTTCAAGTGGGTTTTCAGAACACTAAGATTAGTGTAGTGAAATATGACGGCAAGATCAATTTTGGTTTGTGGATGAGCGACGTACAGGATGCGCTCAATGCTCAAAATCTGGAGGAGACCATCATGGTCGATGTGAGGCCACCTAAATATGAAGAGGCGATATGGGAAAAGATGAATCGAAATGCTTACGGGGTGATCAGGTCCTGTTTGGAACAGGAGCTGAAATACGATGTGATTGGGGTGACGTCTGCAATGAAGATGTGGGAGATTCTCAACAACAAGTATCTCACGAAGAGTGTTGAGAACAAGTTGCGCTTGCTGCGAAGATTATTCAGATTTCAGATGTCCAGAGGCACCTCGCTTGCGGCTCATGTGAACAACTACACTAAGTTGTTGTCGGACTTGGCGAACGTGGATGAGAAGATCACAGATGAGTACAAGGCTATTATTCTTTTGGGCTCCTTACCGGATGAGGAGTATGATACCTTCGTGCTTACGTTGCTGAACGGGAGATCTTCTATCACTTATAGTGAAGTGACTAACGCATTGACGAACTATGATTTGAGGAGGAAGGATAAGGAGACTTCCCGCGCTAGTACTTCAGGAGAGGCCTTGTCGGCGAGAGGTAGAAGCTCATATCAGAAAGGTGGAAATAGAGGGAGGTCAAAGTCAAGAGGTTGTCACCAGCTTGTAAAGAACCAATGTGCATTCTGCAAAGAACAGAGATATTGGAAGAGAGACTGCCCGAAAGTCAAAGAAAAGGAGAATAGCAAGAATAAGGGCCCGAAGGCCAATGAGGTGAATGTTGCGAAAGGCGATGATTCCGATGATTCGAGCTTTTCTCTTTTGATTACTCCGGAGGTGAACCATTTGGATGCATCGGAGTGGATGCTTGATTCTGGCGCTACTTATCATGTGACTCCTAGGCGAGATTGGTTTTCATCATTTGAGAGACTCGATGGGGGTGTTGTTGTCATGGGAAATGATCAATCCTGTGGTGTTTGTGGGATAGGTACTGTGAGGATTCGGATGCACGATGGAGTAGTCTGTGAGTTGAAGGAGGTGAGATTCGTTCCTCAACTTAAGAAGAATTTTATCTCAGTTGGGGCTTTGAAGGCGAAGGGATTCAGGGTGACCTTTGAGGATGTTGTAGCGAAGGTTACTAAGGGATCTTTAGTGGTGATGAAGGGAGTCCGCAGTCATAATTTATACTATCTCTGTAGCGAAGGTTACTAAGGGATCTTTAGTGGTGATGAAGGGAGTCCGCAGTCATAATTTATACTATCTGAAGGGGAGCACCGAGATTGGCCAGGTTGCTTCGGCTATTTCAGAGGCGGACATGAGCAGACTTTGGCATTACAGATTAGGGCACACAGGAGAGAAGTCACTGCAGGCTTTGTGCAAGCAGGGGCTATTGAAGTCACTGCAGACTTCGACATTGGTTCGTCACATTTGTTGATTACTATTCTAGGCGTTGTTGGGTGTACACCATAAAGCATAAGAGTGAAGTCCTAGATTTGTTTGTGGAGTGGAAGAAGAGATTGGAACTGCAGACTGGGAGAAAGATCAAGACGTTGCGATCCGACAACGGCGGCGAGGATACCTCAGACCCCTTTCAGCAGCTATGTCGAGACGAGGGCATAGAGAGGCACTTCACAGTTAGTCATACACCGTAGCAGAATGGGGTGGCGGAGAGATTGAATCGGTCTTTGCTGGAGAAGATTCGATGTTTATTGGTACATAGTGGTTTGGAGAAGATCTTTTGGGCTGAGGCACTTTCTTATGCTAGCCACCTCATTAATAGGCTGCCTTCATATTATCTTTTGGTACATAGTGGTTTGGAGAAGACCCCTATAGAGATGTGGTCGGGAGAGACAGCACATGACTATGACCAGCTTAAGGTATTTGGTTGCCCTGCATATTATCATGTTAAAACTAATAAGTTAGAACCTCGAGCTAGGAAGGCCATATTTGTAGGATTCAAGTGTGGTGTCAAGGGATACAAGCTTTGGGATCTAGTTGATAAGAAGATTGTGTTGAGTAGGGACGTCACATTCGATGAGGCTTCTATCTTAAAGCTTCCCAGCTCTCATCATGGAGAGCGACCCGACAGAGGAGATATCGTAGGTGGTGGAGATTGATGCAGCTCCACAGAGTCCAGATAGTGTAGTATCCATTAGAGTGCCGACTGAGGTGACGCCAGGCGAGCACGACGGTGATGCGGAAGATACGGGTACTCATGAGCAGGATCAGGGACCGACGGCTCAGGTTCAGGATTCTATTACGGCACGGAGACAGAGGAGAGACATACGGGTGCCAGCACGGTATGCCGACACAGTTGCATATGCACTTCCGATGGAGAGTATCGATGAGATGGTGCCTACTACATTCAGAGAGTCCGAGCAGAGTTCGGAGGCTGATTCGTGGCAGGTGGCTATGCAGGAGGAGATGGAGTCCCTTCATAAGAACGATACGTGGGAGCTTGTTGAGCTTCCAAAGGGGCGGAAGGCGATTGGGTGCAAGTGGGTGTACACGAAGAAGGAGGGCATTGAGGGCACTCCAGTGAGATTCAAGGCTAGGTTGGTTGTGAAGGGCTATGCACAGGAGGAAGGTATTGATTACAATGAGGTTTTCTCTCCGGTGGTGAAGCACTCTTCGATTCGGATTATGCTAGCTTTGGTGGCACAATATGGATTAGAGTTAGATCAGTTGGATGTGAAGACGATATTTCTTCATGGTGATCTTAATGAAGAAATATATATGACTCAGCCATTGGGATTCCGAGCTACAGGG